ACTTTGTATGTATATGTATATATTATTTCTGTGATTAATTATTTGGAACTAATGATTGTAGAGCCAACCCAGGATAATTAACATTCTTAAGGCAATAAATTTACTTTCAGTATATGTATGTATGTTTTCTGTTAATAAAATTTACTGAAATTATTTAGTTACACTTCAACTCTTGGATGTGACTTTAATACTAGAAAATATCTCACAGTGAGGTGCATGAATTCACAAAACATTCAGTAAAAGCAAAAAAATGTCAAGCATCAGTCGATTGCTACACATTTAATAATAATTCATTTAAGTGGTTGTGGTTTATATCAACAAATGAATTTCCACACCCATTATGTCCTTAACACCATGTAAAACAATTTACTGGTGACGGTGGATTTCTGATCACGTTTTACATCATTCATTTTATTGACCATATTTCAAATCAGTAATTATTCAAAAAATAAAAAGACAACAGAGAAAATTAAAGCTCTAAGCAGCTTTAATTATTGAAAAAAAAAACTACCATGGGGTCATGAATCTTTCACTGGCTGATCACATGTTGAGAAAAACATGATGTAGATTTGCTAATAGCTAAAAATAAAAATGAAGAAGAAGAAGAAATAAATAAAAAGCAGTAGATGAAGCAGCATCAGTCTGACATTTAAACCACGTTACACACTTTGCCCATAGATCATTACAGAAATAATCTTATATGTAAAACAATACAACAAAAAGAAAAGTAACAATGATAGATTACATATTTAGAAGCACCGGGTTTACAATATTAAGGACTTTTTTCAATCACACATTTTTTTTTTTATATATAATTTATAGTACAATAAATTTGTCAGGATTTACACTACAAGTCTGCTTACACTACTTATATAAAATATAAAAATAATATGTGTGGATCACTTAAAAAGATAAAAGGGTTGTGGAAACAGGCTAAAATATTTAAGCAAGTTTAATTGATCAATAAGTATACAACTTGTTCAAAGCTCTGTTTAATTAGCACACTGATGGCACTAATGATCCATTGTTATGCTGATGGTCCTTCTTGAGCATGTGATCAGCTGGTTTTGGTTGTCAACAGCAAAACTGGTTGATCCACTCTGAGACGGTGCTATTTAAGAGACTGAGCTGAATACAGCTCCTCAGACTGAGGAAGTCTCTCGGATGAGAGACGAAACGTTTCTACATTTTTTGTTGATTTGCTTTGTTTTGTTTTTTTGAATGTCCAGAGGACCAGATTTAACTTTTTTAGATTTTTCTACCTGGATTATTGAGCATGCATCAGGAGACATTACCATCATCAACATCACCAAAACCACAAACTGTAAAAATAAAAAATACGAGTCTGTTAATGATCTAAGCTCATCATCTAAACACAGTCTTTCCCCACATTTTTAATGACAGATTTAGATGTGTCAAATGTCTTTTCTTAACATATCCTCAGCATTGCATTTATTACCATTGTTTTAAAATGACATTATGCAGAAGTATCACGGGCAAAAATTTAAATAATGTACATGCTAGATCAGAATCAGAATCAGCCGTTATTGTCATAGCACAGAAGCACAACAAAATTTTACTTCAGTACAGCCCATCCAAAGAAACAAGACGTGGGTAAACAGGGTGCCTGAGGCTGCAGCCTCATGAGAGGCGCTGCCTAGATGCAGTTCAGTCTGCAGTAGCTTAGTGGTTTAGCATTAGCCTTGAAATCCTGAGAATGCTGGTTCAAACCTAGGTTGTGTCAAGTAGGGCATGTGGTATAAAACAATTGTCAAATCTTCATGTGAATTCTCCTGCAGAAGGGAGCCAAAAGAACCACTGACATACAATTTTAAGCCTCAAGATTCACATTTTGTTTGTTTTAGAGAAATTGTTGGGCAGCTATGACAAAAACAAAAAAGAAACCAAAAAACAAACAAACTGTTGGAACAATTTTATGACTCTACCAGACATAAACATTTTGCCTCAATCTTTGAACAATGTAAGGAGCCAATTGAAAAAGTTCATGTTGTCCCAAGGACCTACATCACTAAATATCAAATAAAAGCATTTATTAGTTATGTCATAACTTTCCACTTCTTCAGTTTTCTGTGCCAAACAGGCTTCAAGGGAACAAAAATACAGTAACTTAGTGGCTTGCTCTTGCTCTTGATGTGCTGTCATTCTGGTAGAAGTAAATCAATAGTTTTGTCAGTTTTTGAAGGAAAAACAGGGCAGGAAAGATTAAACATGCTCCCTCTTGTCTTTGGCAGATAATTCATGCTAAGAAAAAAAAAACAGAACCAAAGTTCAACTATTGCAACGCACTTTATCATCAGTGATTTGATCAAATGATGAACTTTGAATTTGGCCTGTAGAAGTTGGGAAAAACGGTCATAAAGTTGCGAAAGTTTAAATTTATGCAGGACAAAAGCATTCAGCAGCCTGTGATATCCCTCAAGGGGCCACTGTCTCGGCCATATGTTATACATTTAACTTCAGGAAACTTTCATTTACTTGTCATAACATCTTTCTTCTGCACTTCTTTGTCCAAACTAATAAAGATTTTTTAATTGATTTTTAGGTGGAGCCAACAAGGTGAAAACACAAAAAGTTGACAACATCTGTTTATTTGATGGTCCGGTCCAAATGTATTTGAGGAGTCATGCTTCCAGCTGGTCAAGATAGTAGTTCCACTGCCTCAAAGACTTCAGATGAGAAGTTTAAACTAACAAAAACATTGCTTTCCAATGCTTCAAAGCTGTCGTCTAAGTGGGCGCTGTCAGGGTTGATGATGCCGCTCTCTGTGGTCGGACTGATGACGATTATGCGTGGGACAGTCTGGGGCGACTTGGGATCAGCAATTTGCATTTTCCCCAAATTCAGGGAATCGAAAGAGTTGCTTTTGTAACTGTTTAGTCTGTCGCTGGTGCTGCTTTTCTTTTCGTGTGCATCAGAAATCTCACTGCTTAGACTCTCGCTGCGCCGCCTGGTAATAACTAGCAATGGGAGAGTAGCAATCGTCATAGAGTTGGAAACCAGTTCATGGTCACCGATGTTCAGTGGGTCGCTCATGGCAGATGGATGCTGGTAATGTCAACATATGGAAAAAAAATGGAAAAATATGATATTTGATTACATGTAGACAGAAAATGCTCCTAATTCAACATTTATGAGATGCATTTTCTCACCTTCTCTGGTGGGTGAGCAGTGATTGTCTTCTGCTCAGTCTGTCTTTTGCAGGACCTCCCTCTGTAGGACTGTTGGTATGATGGTATGCTTCTGAAAGAATGTCCTGATTTTCCACCCAATCGTTCCGTTTCCACATCTTTCAATATCTGCAAGAGAGAAAAGAATTTGAAATCATTCACTCCATTCAAACTGTTCAAGATATAGAAATCAAAACGTCAAAAATTCAGAGCCGGGTGTGCATCATCACCATGTCAATGCGGTTAGTTGAGGCACCAATAAAGTGAGTGCTCGAAACTGTGGACTGTCTGCTGATGAAGGAGTCTCTAAAAGAAGAGTCACTGATGGAGAAGGAGTGGCATTCCTTTCGGGGAGCAGGAGACAGGAACCAAAGACATGGAAACTTTTCTGCCAGGGTCATCCTGTTGGGTGTAACATGGTGCAGTGACTACATTTAAAATGACTTTTTAATGTTCTCAGTACTCAGTTAAACACAACCTGAAACCTTCTTGCTGTAAGGCAACAACTGTAACAGCCTTGTTGTTCAGGTTTCAATTGTGCTCTAGTAAAATGCTGATTTTATTAAAGAATAGGGCCTTTTGAAAAAGATTTAGATTATATTTACACCGAGGTAAACTTTAAAGACACTAAATGTCTTTGGGATCTTTGAGCAATCATAGATCTTAGATCTGTGAGTTGCTGCTCCAGGTCACTTTACCTTTCTGTTGAGAGTGCATGGTGAAATCTGAGCTCATTGTGTGCTTGGAGTATGCTCCTGCACGTTGCACACAGACAACGTTGTGCATGCACCACTTGAAATAAGCTTTCACTTGTATTGGTTAAGGTCAGAGCTTTCAATTTTCACAATTAAGCTAAAAGCAGATGCATTTGATCAACTATTGTACTAACAAAAATAAAAGTACACAGATGTGCAACAGCATCAGACATGCAATGCAGACAGCAGATAACTTGATGCTGCCACCATAAGGAAATACCAGTATTTTTCTTTAGCACAAAGAACAAACACAGTTTTATTCAGAAATGTTCAAGTTTTAAAATACTGCATTTCTATTATTTTTGATCACACATGACAGTGATAGATAATACAAAATTATTTAAAAAAATGTTAAACCAAACTTAGTTGTAGAGCAACTCCAAAGATAAGAAAATGTTGAGTTTAAACATTTAATAATAATAATAATAATGAATTTAATTTGTAACGCTCTTTTGATTAACAAAAATCTCAAAGTGCTACAAAGTGCAACTAAAATCAGTGATAAAATCAACTAAAATCAATGATAAAATAAACTAAAATCAATGATAAAATCAACTAAAATCAATGATAAAAATCAATTAAAATCAATGATAAAATCAACTAAAATCAGTGATAAAAATCAACTAAACTCAATGATAAAATCAACTAAAATCTGTAATAAAATCAACTAAAATCAATGATAAATCAACTAAAATCAATGATAAAATCAATGATAAAATCAACTAAAATCAGTGATAAAATCATGTGGAGGTAGAATAGGCTTGATTAAATGTTTTGCACCATGAACCAATGAAGCTGCATTTAAAGCAAGACAGCTGTAGTTTTTAGAATTTATTTCCCAAATTCCCCCCAAAAATCCAAAATGTTTCTTGTGTAAAAGATGGTGCAAGATTTATTATACACATATAACACAATTATAATGATACTTTACCTGTACTTGTTGTGTATCATAGCATAGATGATGGGATTGTAGATAGTTGAGGCTTTTGCTATGACTGCAGGAACAGACTTGGAATATGGTGACAAAATATTGGCATAACTGATTGAGAAAAAAAAAAGATTATGTTCTATGGTTTTAACGTTGAAAATTCCTCATTTGATCTTGTTCAGTTGGTCATTTTGTTTGTATATTTGACAACACAACATGCCCATCACAAGTCAAAGTTCCCTTTGTCTGTTTGCCTGGTTTGTAAGATGAGGGTTCAGGTTTTGTCAGGGATTAACTTGTACCATCTGCTAAAGAGGGTTGGTTAAATCCATCTGATTGTGTTTGCTCATGTGTTTTTAATGCATGTGTCTCTGTTTAAGTTTGCTCGCATGGAAAGCTACCTTCCCGAGGGATTAAGCAGAGAAAAGATGTGATTTCAGAGTTATGTAACTACATTCAGAGTTTGTGTATACCCCAGGAGAGACATGATGCTTACAGTACATAGATTTAGATAGAATGAATTCAAACAGGACAAATGAAAAGTACACCATCACCATTATAAGCCAGCACAGAAAGCATGACACATTTAAAACTTCTTTCTGGATTTAGTTTTTCTTTTTTCAGCTATTAGAAACCGTTTTCTGTTTAGTGCAGTTTTATTATGTAAAATTTAAAAACACGAGCATTGTTGCTGTGAAGTAAATCCTTAAATCAATAGTTAAAATATTGTATGAAGTTTAGCATGTTTGAGATACTGTATACTAGAGGTGGTGAGACAGCCTATGAAATCTTTTAATGAGTGAGAAAATGTTGCAATGGATCCCTCTGCTGTTACTTTAGGTACAGTAACTGTATGGCACAGTTGGTTTAATGGTTTCACTTATAGTTATTTTTGGGATGACCATTGAGACTGTTTACTCTACAAAGATAGTTCTTGCACTGGGTGGGACCTCTACTGATAATTTTCAATTTATTGTTGTAAATTATCGTGCTTGTTGCCGTACACACCACACCGTCGTATAAGTCACATCAGTCCAAATATGTCTAATAAAGTGGGAAAAAACATAAATATGTCGCTTCGCTGTATAAGTCACATTTATTACGGGCCACTGTTGATCACCCAGAAACGTGGGCCAGTGTTGTGCCAAAAATCGATTGGCTGCCAAATGGCGGTCGCGGGAGCGTGCGCAGGAGGACTTTAACAAGAATTTAACAAGATTAACACTTAAAAACAATTATATGTTTGCTTGAAATTATAGCAAAGGTGTGTCTCAGTTTAACTTTTCCTTAATAAATGCACTTTGACGGTCAAATCAGCTGCATTTCAAAAGCCAATTCACGGTTGCGGGAGCATGCAGAGGGAGGACTCGCTGTGCCTTTCTTCAAAATTTACCTAGATAACCACCTAAAAACGATTATTTGTTTGCTCAGCATTATAGTAAAGGTGTGTCTCAGTTTAACTTTTCCTTAATAAATGCACTTTAATGGTCAAATCAGCTGCATTTCGCCTGGCTGGCGCAGCAAAATGCAGCTGATTTGATGTTTGCTCCAGGAATTCCAGAGCGAGATGAAGGTGGCTTGGTTTGGAAAGTCGTGTCTCATTAATAACCAGTTTTACCTTTTAATGAAACACTTGGCTTGCCATATAACTCAACTGCCCTCTAGTCGCTGAAAATGATAGTGTGCAATATTTTCCATGTCAGAATGAATGAAATCATCAGAGCTCAGACAAAAATTGGGTTATAAATATGGGGAAAACAACATAAAGTCGCTTCGCTGAATGAGTCGCAGGGTATGCTAATTTATGCAAAAAGGTGCGACTTATACAGCGAAAATTACAGTATATGATTATATGAATTATATTTTTTGTCAGTGATTTCTTCTACATGATTTTGGGGGAAATTGTGGCCTATTCTGAATTTGATTATTCCATTTTTTTGTTTATATTTTTACAAATTATTATTAGTATTATGTTTTAGATTTAATTGTGGTTGCCCTCAAATATACTCAGATTGTTTAAGTCATTACGCTCAGTGGATTGCACTCAACCTATATTAGTATATAGGTTATTTACATATGATGTGTTTGTCAAAACTGACAATAATCAAACATTACTAAATAGCAAATAAAACGTTATGATATGTATATATATATATATATATATATATATATATATATATATTTATATGTGTGTGTGAAAAATTCTTACCCAGCCCAGGAAATTAGTGTAACACAGGCATATGGCGACCAAGAGAGGACGTAAACAATGATGACAACAAAGGCTATCTTTGCCAATTTCCACTCACTCCTGATGGACTTTTGTTGGATTAGAGTGCTTTTTCTCACCTTGGGTCCCAGACGTTCTAACTCCCTGAAGGAGAAACAAGACGAAACAACTATTTAGACTGAGAGGCCATTTAAGAGCCAGAGGCCAAAATGAAGAAGAGGTTTTTCATGCAAATTGCAATTTTTAACCACATTTTACATTACAGTAAATCAAACATACATACAAAATATTTCAAGCAAACCCCTTAATGTAAAAGTTACAGTACCTGCTAGTTTGTCTGATGGACAAGAACATTCGTAGGTAGCAGAATAGAATAATTCCCAGGGGAATAAAGAAGACGAAGACACAAAGCATCATTGTATAGCTCCTGTTAGCTGCTGTGTATGTTACATAATCCCATGTGCAAGATGTCATCAGGCCCTCAGGAATATAGGAGCCTGTAGGGATATAAGATCATGAAATATATGAGTGTTTGCAGAAAGCCATATGTCAGCTCAAACATAAGCGGCATTGTAGTTAAACTTGTAAAAACTTTTTTAATAACAATTTAACCAGCCCCATTTCTTAGTGTAACTGCTAAATTTCGACTGTCCCTTTGACTCTTAATATCAAGTCACAACGGTTTGTCGTTTTTTTTTCTTCTTACGAAAGAGAATACCCCTTCAAGATGTTAATACTACTGGCTGCTGGTTCCTTCTAATGTTGATAGATGCAATACTTTTATTTGCCAATGGTTTATTTGCCTTGGTATTGCATGGGTTGTTGGCATCTTATTGCAATAGTCTACAGCCAAACAGGCTAAAACATGAAATGTTTTTGGATGTTAACCAGAGTTCATATACAGCATCCTCCGCAAAGCATTAATGTTCTAAATATCAAATACGAGCAAAAAGCATTTCTAATCAGTATGCCAACAGTCGGATTATATAGTTTTTACAGACTAGTCTATATAGCAAATAGAGGTGGACTATCATTCATTGCCAGAAAATTTTTAATCAGGATGGATGTTATTTACCCGTATTAACCCCATTACCAGCAACACAAGCAGCCCATCAGACTGTACCACCTTACTGTAAGCAGGTAAGCTGTGCATTGATAATTTTGTCCTTAAACATTGTATAACAGCAAAGCTACATTCAGTCATTGTGTTGCACAGTATTTAGGCCTTCTGATGGTCTGCAGCACAGCTCTCTGCAGGTAAGGAACATTTAGTTTCGGATTGGTCATTTGCTGACACGCCTACTAGACTGGTTGACAGGTCACGTCGTGGATCCGACTCGTGGAAAAAAAAAATAAACTGGAGCTGTAAAAAAAAGTCTAGTGTGACTTTATTCTCATAATTTTATGGCTTTGATTTTTTTTTTCTTAGTGTGGCCCTAAAGCTCTGTTGTAATGAGGGAGTAGAGTTGGTCAGTTTAAGGTTAAAATCAGACACCACTCTGAGCAGCAGGACCACACTTTCCACAGAACAACTGTGTCAACTCTTGAAACTGTGCCTGCAGTCAACCTACTTCACACATGGGAGCAATATAGGCAGAAACATGGGTGTGCTATGGGGTCCCCAGTCTCTCCTATTGTTGCCAACCTGTACATGGAGGAGGTAGAAAAGAGAGCCTTGACGTCCTTTTCAGGGACACCACCAAGTCATTGGTTCAGGTATGTTGACGACACCTGGGTTAAAATTAAATCTCAGGAAGTCCAACATTTTACTGACCACATCAACTCTGTGGATAAATACACCAAGTTCCCACGAGAAGATGTAAAAAATGGCAGGCTGGCTTTCTTGGACTGTGAGGTCTCATTCTCTGATGGAAGGCATTTGCAAACTGAGGTGTACCGCAAACCCACCCACACAGACCAGTATTTGCAGTTTGACTCCCATCACCCTTTGGAGCACAAGTTAGGAGTCATCAGGACTCTGTATCACAGAGCAGACAGCATCCCCACTAACTCAGGAGTCAGGCAGAAAGAGAAATCCTACACAAGACAGGCTCTAGAACAATGTGGATATCCTAACTGGACCTTCCTGAAAGCAGAGAAGAAACCCAAACAGGACTCCAGTCAGCCAACAAGTGAAAAGGAGGAACCCAGACCCAGACCAGTGGTCATTCCATATGTTGAGGGAGTATCAGAGAAACTGAGATGTTTATTTTCTAAACATAACGTCCCAGTGGCTTTTAAACCCCAAAATACATTACGGCAAAGACTGGTTCATCCCAAAGATCCAGTCCCCCAGCACAAACAGAGTAATGTTGTGTATGCTGTTCAGTGTCAGGAGGGCTGTGATCAGTCTTACATCGGGGAAACTAAACAGCCACTGGCCAAAAGGATGGCCCAGCACAGAAGAGCAACACCTTCAGGCCAGGACTCTGCGGTCTACACTCATCTCCAGGCCAGCGGTCACTATTACAGGGATGAAGATGTTCACATCCTGGACAGAGAGGAACGATGGTTTGAGAGAGGAATAAAGGAGGCCATCTTTGTGAAGAGAACCTGTTCGTTGTTAAATGGGGCAGAAGCCTCCATGTTCAACTGTCACCCTCTTACAATGCTGTTATTGCAAGTATCACTCAGCTGTCTGTAAATAATAAGGGGCCATCAGGGAACTGAGAGCTTGTTAAGCTGATGGTCATGGTTGTATTGAACCCTTGATTGGTTTTGACAAAAATAAAATTGATCTGTTTCTTAAGGAATTTAAGTACATGACAATAATGAAGTATTTCTTTAAGGAGTATTGTGAGATTTTATATTTTAACAAGAATAATTTTCTAGAGGAAACTCACTCCAGCCAACAAGAGGAGCCAAACTCCAAGCCAAAGAATAAAGCCAGACAAGAAAGATGGCAAAGACAGTCCTTCGTTTGGAGCTCCAGTGAATAGTCTGCAGTGGCCTGGCGATAACCAGATACCGTTCAATTGAGATGGCCAGTAGGTTAATCATGGATGAAATGCCAAACAGGGCACCAAGGAAAGCATATATCTTACATCCTGCAAAACAGAAACACATCAAAAATACCCAACACTTGTTAGCAAAGCAGAAATGAACACATTTTAGCATACTTGCACGAAATGAGGAGAATTACCCATTGCTCCAAACATCCATTCCTTGTAGAGGCAATTGATAAAAAAGATTGGAGACTGGGTAAAAGCCATGAGGAAGTCACTGACTGCCAAGTTCATGATGAAGTAGTTGGGCAGTTTGCGAAGCTTTTTGTTGCTACACAAGATCACACAACAAAAATTACATAACAAAAGACAAAATATTGATAATGTTAATGTTTTTAAAGTTTTAAAAACATTTACTGAACAAAACAAATCTCACATAAGCATTCTTTTTATAAAGTGCCACCTAATTTGTTGAATTTTGATCCGAATGTTCTAATGACTTTAGTTCTTGGGCATGAAAACCATATTGTCAGGCTACTGAAGCATTAAAAAAATTTAAACTGTGAACACATTTTTGACTGAAAGCTTGTATTTTCTTTGAAATTGACATATTTTAATATATCGTGCTTCTCAAAAAGCTTCGATAATTCAATTCAATTCAACTTTATTTACAAAGCCCTTTAATTTAATTCAATTAAGTTTATTTATAGTATAGAGTGCCAAGTCACAGCATAAGTCGTCTCAGGGCACTGTACAGAAACATCCATATATACATAAAAAGTCAGCTTTAAAACTCTTGGATGAAAGAAAGTGCTGAACAATATAATAAAATAAAACATGTACAAATGCAATTAACACTAGAAGTAAAGATGAAAAGGAAAACATAATAATAAAACTATAAATAATACTTTGGTGAGTAGTTTTACAAAAGAACATGTAAGCTTGTTGTGTTGAGCACCAAAGAAATTAGGACTTTTTTAATTATTTCATTTATTTATTTATTTTTATTTTCCAAACCACAACAACATGGAAACTCTGCCAGATTATTATTTTTTTTATTTTTACTGGACAAAGATGTTATGTGCATGTATGCCCCTGAGGATAAACAGTGTAGGATCCAATAAGTTCTGGCAGCTCAAACTGAAAACTACTACAACAGTAGCCCTCAGTCATAAACACAGAACATTGTCAATGTTTGCTCCATTTCTTCACTAAGTAACAATGTGGAACAATGAACATGACCCACAGTGGTTTAGAAAATAAAATGAAAAACTTAAGATATGGAAAACGGACCATTTCTTGTTAAATTCTTTTTGTTTGTTTATTATTTTATTTCATTTTCTAAAGGTACGACACGTGAGTAAATGTAGTTGTATTTTTTGTGATTACCTCAAGAATTTAACTGGTTGAAAAAAAATCAATTAACCTGTGTTCTACTGTTAGTTTGAGTCTCAACTGTATAGCCTCTCTAATTTACACAATATTTATTTTAACAAGGTTGCCAAATTTATTAATTGTGTTGGTCATTTTTGAACATTAGTTTAAAAGATCAATCTCTCACAATAAAGTTAATTAAAAGAAATGTATACAAGTTTAGTGGAGTTTAATTTCTGCACTGCATGCAGACGTCTGCTGTCATCAAGTAATGAAAGGAACATTATGTAATACAGATATTGTCAAATTAGGCCATCGCTCAAATCAGGCCATCACTCTAATCTGTGCACCTAAACAAGAAGCAAACTGAGCAGATAAGGTCATGCTGATGGGACAGTGTGTATTCAGGAGCTTTTAATTTGTTAGGATACTCACAGATGACTGTGTTGAATATTTCGCCTTATAGACAACTACTTTAATCTATTTAAACTACAGCAGAAAACCCATAGCAGTGCTGTTTAACAGCTTATTCTCTTCCTTTCTTCTTCTTTCTTTCTTTCTTTCTTTCTTTCTTTTCTTCTTAATTTCTTTCTTTCTTTCTTCAGTACGACTTTACAATAAGGCTCCCCTTATAGATGGCTAATAAATAGTTTACAGATGCATTAATTCCTCTATAAACACTTTATAACACATTAATAATTGTTTATTATGCATTAATTAAGGGTAGCAGAGACAAAACTGACCAGTTTCTGCCAAACAGTGAGCCAAGCTTGTTCACCTATGTTTCATCTAGAGTTGTTATATTAAACATTTCAGACTAAGTTACTGCCTTGTGAGCACAACAAGCATTTGGAAACCTGTTTTGTAGGATATAATATTAGTTGTAGTTACTTCTAATGCAGTGGTAAAGTAAAGAAATAGGTTTACAAATGTTTATTGTACTTACAAGGTAGTAACAGTCTGAAATGTTTCATATAACAACTCTAGATGAAATAGGTGAACAGATTTGGCTCACTATTTGGCAATCTGGTCAGTTTTGTCTCTCTGTCACCCTTAATTAATGCATAATAAGCAGTTATTAATGATTTATAAAGTGCGTATAGATGAATTAATAACATATATATCTATAAACTATTTATTAGCCATCTATAATGGGAGCCTTATTGTAAACTGGTACCAATGTATATAAGTCATCGTCAAATATTATTTTTATTATTCTTATCCTGAAGACGTAACATTATTTTTGTTTAACAATCTGCAAAGTTGTTATCAGCAGTAAATATTTTACCTGTAGAAGACAGAAGTCGTAGCAACTTGAGTTAGTAGAAATAAGAACATATTCTTAGATACAAGTCAGGCTAACTATATATTTTCAAACAGAATGCCAAACCAAGAGGAGCAACAGCTGTAACAACTGATTTTGATTATTTTAGTTGATCATTAAGTCACATATTTCTGTGAAGCAACTTATTTTGATTGCTTAACGCATTTGCTTTATGTTGTTAAATTATCTGTGGCCTTTCTGTGGAGCAGGGAACGCATGCATGAATCTAAAAACCAAACAAATTTGGAAAGAAGCTCTTAGTTAATAAAATAGTTTGTGAATCCTGGTTGAAAGCTGTTGATGGCCAAGTCAGGCTTTTTAATCAACCTACACTGACTGTTGTTCTGCTTTAGTCTGGTAACACATTGACTGCATGGATATATGTATAGAGAGCACACTACAGATGGAGGAGTTCAAGTATCTTGGGGTCTTGTTCACGAATGAGGGAAAAATGGAGTGTGAGATCGATAGGCAGATAGGTGCAGCATCTGCAGTGAAGCGGGCGCTGTACCGGTCTGTCGTGGTGAAGAGAGAGCTGAGTCAAAAGGTGAAGTTCTCAATTTACCAATCGATCTACGTTCCTACCCTCATCTATGGTCAGATTGGGTTGTGACCGAAAGAATGAAATCTCGGATACAAGCAGCCAAAATGAGTTTTCTCTGTGGGGTGTCTGGGCTCTCCCTTAGAGATAGGGTGAGAAGCTCGGTCATCCTGGAGTTACTCAAGAAGAGCCGCTGCTTCTCCACATCGAAAGGAGCCAGTTGAGGTGGCTCGGGCATCTGGTTAGGATGCCTCCTGGATGCCTCCCTTGTGAGGTGTTCTGGACACGTCCCACTGGGAGGAGACCCAGAGGAAGACCCAGGACATGCTGGAGGGACTATGTTTCTCGGCTGGCCTGGGAACGCCTCGGGATTCCCCCGGAGGAGTTTGCCCAAGTGGCTGGGGAGAGGGAAGTCTGGGCCTCCCTACTTAAGTTGCTACCCCCGCAACCTGACCCCGGATAAGCAGAAGAAAATGGATGGATGGATGGATGGAGCACCCTAAAGTAATATTTATAGGGATGGGGCCGATCTGATCCAGTATCGTATCGGGCTCCGATACAAGTATAATTTATGTATCGGATTTTCCGATCCAACCTGCCGATATTGCCGATCTATGCATGTCTGTGGTTGCGCTGCACCTTGGCTTCAAACTATGGAATGGATTTCCTGAACAGAGGCATGTCTCATGAACCCAGTGTAATAAGACCTGCCTCACATTCAGGAAATCCATTTCATAGTTTGCAGCCAGCTACAACGTGAGGACTGAGTTAGCAACACTGTGGCTAACAGCTAACCAACTTTTTATCGAAACATGTCCGCCGTGTGGGAGTATTTTACACTAGAAACACCACAGAACAAGACAGCAACGTGTAATGTCTGCAGAGCCATAGCACCACATTAAACCGTGGTAAAGTTAGTTTTACGTTGGACATGCGAGCTCCGGGGCTTCAGCAGTCTGTTATTTTTGTTCAGTCTGGAGAAGGCAGTCTGATTTCGGTCAGCCACGCTCAGTCTGACCCGCTCAGTCTGTCCATCTCTGAGGAGGGGTAGACTGAGTGCGGCTGACTGAGACCAGGCTGCCTGCTTTGGATTGAACAAGAAAAACACATCACTGAAGCCACAGAGCTCAAATACTTACCGAGAAGTTGCTAAACTTCATCATAATTAATGACCAACCACTATCAGTTGTAGAAAATGAAGGATTTCACAGCTTGATGCTTGCAGTCAATATATAGTTTACCCTCCAGGAGATATTGATCAGTACAACAGTAGACAATCATAAAAAAAAATATGATTTGAAAATTA